TGGAACAGCTTTACTTGACTCTGTCTGATTCCTTTGCTCTGCTTGACATTATTTTATCAGACAAATCCCCAAACTTTCACATTTGTAATATATGCGTGTGTCTACATAATACAGAAAACAGAGACTCATGTCTTTTATTCCAACCATAATCAACATACAAATACAATCACTGAATCAGACTCTTAAACCACAACCCCCAGACTCTTAAAACCTCTCACATCACACTTTGACCGAGAAGATCTCACTCAGGGAACTCCAAGTTCTGGACACAGCAAGAACCATGCCCAGTCCCACTATCGCCATGTCCAGGCTCCATTGCTTCCACCCCATCTCTTCCTTGAACACCAGCAAATGAAACAAAGCAGGTAACACAGACCCTAAGATGCAGCAAGTGCTGCTCCCCACCAATGACAAAAAAATCTGTAAAATTTGGCACAAAGAAAGCCACCAAAGTCACAACCAAGAATTCATACAGAACATCACCATCATCCTCTTTCATACAGAACTCCTCAACTGTCTTCAGCTGTTCTCCTGAAGATGACTTGGTTTCAATTATCACAGAGTAGTTGTCTTAAGACTCAGCTAAAGAGTTCACAACCATGTTATGTCCTTTCTTGAAACTTGAATCTCTAATCAAGAACTAATCTCTAATGTATACAGAAAATGTAACCAATCAAGAACTAGGGGTTAGTTTAGATTTTGTATAAGCTGAAGATGAAGATGATGATATAAGCTTTAAATAAATCAAGAAGTAAGTCTTGGACGACAAGATCTTTCAATGCAGTCTACACGAAGAGATACCACAGCGAACGCACTACCTAATTAGTCTACGAGAATCTGAACACTAATAGATTACTACTTGGCATGGAGATGAACTCATCAAAGGTTATTATAACCTACGTTCAGCCAACATGTATCATGTATAAAATAGAAGAGAAAATATACACATTTACACTACATATAAACAGTCAGCATCAATATCGTAGGATTTATACTGGCCATAAAACTCAAGGTTTCAAGATAGACACAATAGATCATATATATAGAAACATAATTATTTGCCTACCCCACTGTACCAGAAACCATAAAAAACCAGAATCAACAAATCTCTTGTAAAGAGTTGCAATGACTGAGGATGTTGATTAACCAACTCGTCTCAACTATTCAACGATGAATCTAACAAAGAAACTCACTCCAGAAAAAAAACAAGCAACATTTTTTTTCAGAGCCACTTGGGTAATAATCACTAGCAATTGCAGTCTTATTCAAATATCTTCATTGCTAATACCAACTCTTGAAAGACATTAACCATAAACCAGATCTAAGCAAAATCAAAGGTCATCCTAAGACTTAATCAATCAACATTATCATGAATCAAATCCTAAACGCTATGATAATGACTTTCAATAAAGCCGCAGATGAATACAACCAGATGTAACCACGCGATTCATACGATAAACGAAATGGGGGAAGACTTTTACCTCTTTCTCGGAAAGCTCAGATGCGTAAGGGAGGACGAAATTGACGGTGAGCTTCGTCAGGATCAAAGAGGCGGTAGAAGGACGGGATTTCATGAAGGTAGAAGGAGTCTGAGGCGGGTCCATGTTGGTCACGATAGTTCCAGGAGCTGGATGAGATCTCTATCTCGTGGTATATCTTCATGTTCGCCGTCCTTTAGAAGCTCTGGTTCGTTTTTTACCGGGAGCAATCGTCGTGCGACGGTGGTGGCGGTAGATTTAGAGGCCGGAGAAGAGATCAGCCAGTATTGTCTTTTGTCATTGTTGAATTGTGTATTTATGAAAATGTCCCTTAAATAGTGGTAAAGTTGAATTGTGGTACAACAAAAATGGTATTTTTGCAATTGTCTCTTTCTCTTTTTGGGAATGATAAAATTGACTTTCCTTTTAGTATATATGTAAAAGGCAAAAAATAGGAACAATGTATTTTCCTCTTCGTAATATTTTAATAAAAGTAACTAAATTAATTAAATTATTGAAAAAAATAAATGGGTATTAAGAGTTAAAAACCTTAATTAATTTATCGACGGAAACAATGATGATAAAAACTTAATTAATTTCTAGACGGAAACAATGACGATGATCACTGATCTTTCATTGAATTTGGTAGAGGAGATACTCTCTAAGGTCTTGATAACTTTTCTAAAAGCAGTAAAATCCACTTGTAAAGGATGGAACACTCTATCCAAAGATGAGAAGTTTAGAAAAATCTCTATGATATTATTTGAGAAGTCAGTTTCCTATGTGTCACTCTCACGTTCATATTCACGATGGTTGATTACATTGATACCCTTAATGAATTAAAAATAGTTGAGAATAATATTATTAATTCTTTTATTTTTAGTTTTCCTTTTCAAAAATTTCCAAAACGATATGTAATAAAAAAGCATTTTTTTATAAAGTCATAAAAAACAAATTTAATACGAAAATATATGTATATATAATATGATTTCATAAAAAGAAAAGTTGACAAAATAGTAATAATACATTTAAAAATATTTTTAAATAACATAAAAATATGTATATATAATATAATTTCATAAAAAAGAAAAGTTCACAAAATAGTAATAATACATTTAAAAATATTTTTAAATAATATAAAATATACTTTTAGAGTAATAAAATAATTTATAATTAGTATTATTGAATTTTTATTTATTTTTCATATATTTAGTTGACTATAATATCTTTCAATTACAGAAAATTATCTAGAACTTATATTTTACTTATATAATATTATTTTCAAATACAATCACAATTTTGTGTAGTGCTTTTTTTTAAGAGATATTAAAAACTAAAAAATAAATTTAACAATAAACATCGTTTGTCAAAATAATTTTTCTAATGAACTAGATATATGATATTTTATCATTATTAAAATTATTTATTTTATTAATATTAATTGTTTTAAATTTTATGTTTGTGAAACTAAATATAACCATAATCAAAATATCAAAGCAAATCTGAATTCTCAATTTAAGATTATTTAAAATAAATTTCATTTTACATTCAATAAATCTAAAGCATAAAGTTATTTAGAATTTATAAATGCATGTAACCTTTTATTGGTCATATGATAACTCATAACATATTAAAAAATAAAAATAAATACTAACCAACATCCATGAGACTTTAGAATATTTTCCTTATATTAATTTACGTATTTTGGAATCAGACACTTTAGTTAATTTTTAATTCATTCCAAGCACAATATATCTTACATTATACATAATTTTCCCAAAATATATTTACATATCTAAGACAACACCCACCATATGCAAATAAGTAACTAATTAAAAATTAATATATTCTAAAAATATTACAGTTCAATTCAGAGATGCAATCCAATTTATCCAAATAATGACTAAACCAACCGTAAAACAACAAAATTGACTAGATATAACATATATAAAATTACAGTATAAGTAAAGTAATATAATACTATTAATATAAATGATGCATAAAATTATAAATTAATTTAAAATTAAAAGTAAATAATAATCAATTATTATTATATATTTAATTTAAAAATATTTATATCCGTGCATGAGCACGGGAAAATCACGTAGTACATTGTAAATATTCAGCCAAAGAATGTTCGTGGCTTTTGGTGGTTATTGGTCTGAAAGAAGATTCAGTCTCCACGGAATCCATAACATCAAAGACTTGTCATGAATGAAGGAGATAGGAAAACTACAGAGTCATGACTGGAAGATATATATGTATGTCCCCTATATATTAATCATGAATATTACAACATGTTTTTTGTAGCCATGTGTAATCATCAGAACAATTCTTAGAATCTTTTGAAAAATTCTTTGGTCCCTATAAATATTTATATTATACTTTTTATTAAAATAACTATTGAAATAGTTAGTAGTGTACAAACAATATATTTTCTTTTCTTAAATAAAAGCTACGGAATTACCTAATATGATTAAAATATTTATGGAATTAATGATTATGAATAATAATAAAAAATTTTGTGTCCTATCTCTTTTTTTTATTTAATGTTACATTATTAAAATAAATTAAACAATCACATTAAATATATAATAAAAATGATTTTTTCTTATATCTTATATTTTAAATTTTTTAAACGATCATAAATAGCTAAAAATAGTAAAATTTCCACATTGAAAATTTTAACAATGCAGGGTTTTGATTATCATTTTAAATATATATATATATATATATATATATATTCGTAAATAAATTTTAAGTTAAAAAATCTTCTATCTTTATTTAATTTTTAATTAAATCAAATCTATATTTAAATATTCGTAAGAAAATAATAAAATCTATAATATTAGTAAAAATTATTATTAAATATAATTTAAGCTTAAAAAACTTTTTTCGTACACATGATGTAGGAAAACACCTAGTTAATATACCACAACGTGCAGTCTAATTACTAAACCATGCAATTACAAACTATTACATAACCAAATTGTAGATAAACCATCAAAACAGAATTGCTAGTTTGCTATATATCATTCTATAGTATTGATAGAATATTATATTAAATCGTCACACTACCTTCATTCTTCTTCGTCTACATTGCATTCAATTCAGATGATACCTCCAGTTTTTTTAATCTGGAGAATTACAATCAGTATATTACTTTCATACAAATCCATGTCATTGATTAAGAAAATATCAAACCAATATGTTCTTCGATACAAACCATTAAACCAGTATATTAATTACTTTCGGTCATTATTTATCACAAAATCTTACCAGTATAATTCTTTCATCATATTTTATATCATGATTTATATAAATAATAACAAAACGATAATACCCTAAGCATATATTTAATTCAAAATCAAAATTATTATTTATTAATTCCAAAAATTATTGACCTTCCAATATCATAGCAAACCAGCCTAACAATCACAATATCATCATATCTTTCACGTTTTCTTTCTAACGCTTTATGTCCATTACAATCTGAGAAATGTATCAAAAGAAAAAACAGAGAATGGTAGGTACCAAAAGGACCCCAAACTCAAACAAAGAAATTCAAAAAATAGCAACATCAACCGAGGACATGAAGATCCTCTCATCGAGATTCAGAGGTCTTCAACTTTGTGAAGGAGGGGATTCTCCATCAGTCTAGACTAGTAACCACTTTGTGCACTAGAAGCATCTTCACGAATTGTAGGCATGAGCCATGTCGGGCCATCTTTTGCTATATAAGACGCGTAGCGGTGATCTCTTGTAACACTAAGGGATATAGTATCAGCGCACCGGTTGTTTGCATCAATATGGACATATGCAATGGACCATAGTCGGAGCAGAGCAAGCTTCCCTAATAGCATCAATTAAACTGCACCACTGTAGGAAATTCCCAAGGTTTAAAATAGCTTCACCCGCCAAATAAGAAGAAGATTCGAAAACCACTTTCTCATACTTCAATGTCGATAAACTTTCTGTAGCCCAATAAAAGCACAATAACTGAGCCTCTAAGGACGATGATACTCCAGAATACGAACGACGACTGTGAGCTAAAGGTATTCCTGTAGGAATTCATAGCGGTTATATAAACTTATAAGTCTATTTATGAATTCAGTTTGCCTAGAATTTCATGCCAATACTGAAACAACTCTAGATCTTAGGGTTTTGCATATACTTGGATGTTATTCGCAGCGAAAGATGAATGAAACAAACCGAGGTTATTAGCACTCCAAGCGTCGTGCCTCTACCGGTATCCACACGCACACAAACTGGATCGATACGGGATGCTAGTGCCGTCGAGATCAAATCTCAAAACTCCACAACGAACAGTTTGTCTTTTATTATTATGTTTGTGATTGCGGCAACCCTTGACCAGCTCACGTCATTAAATCACATTATATAATGAAGACTAGGACTAATACATGGTCTATGGAATTATTAACAAAGCCCATTAACCATAACACATAATCTCTTCCAAAGAGATTATTATTACTATCATGTATAGTCCATACATATAAATTTATATTTATATCACATATAATATAATGTATACTTTTCACCAACCAATATATATATTATTAATCCAGTTTTCTTAGGTGTGTGACCCTGTAGGATCATATAATATTAGTAATGAATTCTCAATACATAGATTATAAGCGGTTTCTAGCAAAACATTATAGCCACCTTATATCATACGATTGTCGAACCTCGACGTTACGACTTTATCAAGAGTAAGTACAAATGATTTTAGGAAATTCCCAAAAATCTCCCACTTGTACTAGAATCATCTATTCTGATAATCCCTTTGTCTCTATATCTCGATCTCAGCATAAGGAAAAAACTAGTTTCATCCTTATTAAGCTAGATCATGTTTATCGAACTCTGCTTTGTACTGATAAGACAAACGACTGACATTCACCTCGTTTGAACATGACCATGCATTTCTCAGTATCAAATCTTCGATAGGCCCTGAGATATTTATCTCCCGTTATATAGGAGGGACAAATCCCATCTTGTTCCATCCCTGTTCCTTTAAAATTTCATAGAACACCTAATAAATGCCTTTATAATCACCAGTTACGGTTGACGTTTGACAAGGTCAAAGTGAACTAATCCCCAAGTAAAGA